ATTTATTTTTTTTTTAATTTTTTTATATATCTATTTTATTTAATTTTTTTTGTATTTTTACCGAAGTCAAAAATCCACTGCCTGGCGCCTGATCGATGCCCAGCAGGAGTCGCACAAATGTAATCACATAGTCCTTGACAAATGCCTGATAGAGCAGCGTGTCCAGCATGGAGGCACTGAAGACCGCGCCGGCGGCAAAGGGCAGACGAAACATGTACGAGATATGCGAACCGCGCTCCTTCTCGCGCTGCAATTAAGTGAGCGACAAATTAACCAATGACAACTGCAACGGTAAACCCCCCGCCCCGGGGCCCCCCTTGTTACCGACCTTCTCCATTTTGCTGAGATGCAGAGCGTACTTGTCGTGTGCCCGGAACTGCATGAAACGCATATTCGAGCTCTGCGACAGCTCCGTGATGCTCTTGATGCTTGGAAAGAATCTGAGTGGGAGTGAAGAAGAGTTAGACTTGAATACAGTTATCTCCCAAGACCTACTGCATACTTGAACATATTTTGCACAGCAACTATCGTATTGCAGTCGGAGAGTGAATCCTCCTCGGCGGAGTTGGAGAGCTCCTTGTTGACCACCACAACACTCTCGGCTAGCGTAATGCCAGCGCGCAGCAGATCATCCAGACAATCAATAGAGCCCAGCATCCAATAAACCTAATGGAAATGTGCATTTAGAGTGCTGCAAAGAGAGTGAGGATGAGGCAGCTCACCAGTGGAAAGTAGGAGAGTGCATCGAGAAAGGCGACATCGGGTCGTCGCTCCAGCAGCAAAATAATCGGATTCAGTGAGGTCTTCGAGCGGAAATGAGCACGCAGTGGAATGATAAAGTTGTAAATGCCATTCGAGGCGTAGTCCGCAGCCAGAATGATGGTCTTGTTCTGCCATTGATACTCCTTGGCATTGCGATAGCTGCAGTGCTCACAGACCTAGAGGGAGAAAGAGAGAGAGAGAGAGAGAGAGAGAGAGAGAGAGAGGGAGATAGAGAAAGTTGTGGTAATCATGTCTATTATTTCTAAATCCTTCTCACCTGTGCCAGCTGCAGACAGCATAGTGGTTTCTTCTCTTTGAGCAGGTAGCAAAGCGTCGGACTGACCCCAATGAAGGGCGAGACTGGTGGAAAACCTTTGACAATGCTGCAATGTAGAAAATTTATGCGTTGCTGCAGTTGTATAAATGAGCTCAGATGAACAAATGCTTTCTCGAAATTTGTCTTAAGCAAGAACAAATGAAAAAAAAAAGAGGTTAAAGGTAAAGCGTTTCTCATTGTTCTTAAGTGCAGGATATGAGCAGGCGTCGCAGAAAAACTGAAGTCTACATCTAAAGAGGAAAACACGTGTCCTCTAACTACATGGCAATGTATTTACGCAATTGTCGTTTGTATCTGAATAGATGATGATTTTCATAAAGTTTTCCTTTTAGCATGCAATTAATGTGGCCCAACGAACAGCTGCTACAACTGGCTAACTTGCTTGAGTCGGAGACTGACCCACAACGGTGGCTCTTATCGCGACTGACTGTTACGTGGGTCTTGGCCCAGCAGCACTGTAAATGAACAGCAACAACAACAACAGCAGCGGCAGCAGCAACAATAACAATAACAACAAGCTGAGCCCAAAGAACAACTTTTGTATGAATGCAAACGACAAACGACAAAGATGCAACTCAGCGTTAAAGCAAAGAATGAAATAAACAACGAAATTGAAAATAAAGGAAGCCGAGGCGTAAACAGAAACATCAACAACAACAATAATAACAACAACAGCAAGAATATGGTACTGTAAAATGCTGGCATAGCATAGTCGCATCGAACGACTATATGAATACGCTGTAAGCACGAAAGGTAATGGTAATAGGTTACCTAAAGATGACTTCTTCAACAGCATATCCTTAAATTATTATATCAAAAACAAGTAATTTGATTTTAAATTCTTATTCGTATTAACTTATTAAAATTTAAAAATATTTCAAATCAATGATTCGGAAAATACTAGGAATATAATTCAGTATGAATAAATTAATTAAATTTAGGAATTATTTATTTCTTTATTTATTTTTTGTTTTTTGAGTATTTTACGATAATTTTTGTTATGTTTGAAATGCATAAAAAATGGAGAAACAAATTTAATTTGAATAAAGTTTTTTATTTTATTTTTAAACTTATAAAAATTATTTATTGTTCGCCTAGGACAATTATCCCTGGCCTTCAAATTTTGACTGTATGAATAAATTTATTAAATTTATTTTTGTAATATTATAACAAATTCAATTTAAATTGAGCAAATTTTCTATTTTAATATATTTTTTTTATTTTATCTTTTTACATAAAATAAAATTCTTTAACTTTCGCTTAGGGCAATTGTCACTGGCTATACGCTCCATTGGCTAGCATTCAAAGTTTGTTAGGGTATATGTTAAACAAAACTGAAAACGTGAAAGAGCATCATCAACAAATCTCAAGTCGTAGCGCGCTCCGTCCAAGGTAAACGTTGCAAGTCATTAAAAAGTACCCTGCGGCAGGCAACTAGCGACTGTTGCAAGCAAACAAAATATTGCATAAGAAGCGGCAGCAATAGCAACAATAATAATAGTAGCAGCAGCAACAACTGCAACAGCAACAGCAACAACAAATAGCAACGATAACAACTCTTCAACAATGGAACATTCCAAAATGCACAGCCCGAGTTGCAGGTGTCTGGTGGCCCGCTGTGTGGCGGCGCCTCGAACGGGCGGCAACTTACCCGGAATAGTCGGCCGCCCACACCGGACGCGCCAAGCGACGTGTCTCTGCGGAGCTGCTCGACGTAAAGCCACAGCCAGGAGGCGGTGGCGGCGGCGGGGGCGGGTGCGGTGCTTGGAACGGGCACTGGGCTAGGCTGTGAAAGTGCGCCTGACCGGCAGCCGCTGCCGTTGTGGTGGTGGTGGCGGTGGTGGTGCTGCTGCTGCCACAGCTGTCGCGTGAGCAACTGTAGCAGCAGGAGCAGCGCTGCAACTGGCGACGTCGCGCCGCCAGCAATGCCAGCGGACCACCGGCCAGCCCCTGGCCCAGGCTCATGTCCAGGCCCATGTCCAAGCCCAAACGCTGGCCAGACGGCGGAGCGCACTCGCTGTCGCAGCTGTAGCTCTTCTTCATGGCGCGCCGGCGCAGCGACGCTGGCAGCGGCTGCGCTGCTGGCGCATTGGCGGCATTGGCATTGCAATAGCCACAGTTGGCGCCGCCCAGCGCGCTGCCACGCTGCTGATACGAGTCCTCCGAGGAGCTCATGATGAGCGAATAGGTGCGCGATTGTGGAAAGTGACCGCCCAAGCAACTGCGAGAGTTTAGGTTTTTTTTTTTTTTTTTTTTTTTTTTTTTTTTTTTTGCGTTTTATATGAAGGACGAGAGGGAAAGGGTCTAAGCTAAGCTAAGTGTTTTCTTTGGGTGCTCAAGGCAGGATTATTGTAACAGCTAAGACAA